GAGAGAAAGGGGGCCCGGCTAGAATGTTTGCCCCGGGGCCCGTAGTGGCTCTCTACGTTCCTGGGTGTACAAGATGTCTGTAAACAACATTATTTTAAAGAACATTTACTGTCCAGTCTTGAAGTGCAAGAAAAACACATTTTAACACTACAGGGGCAGGATGGAACGCTGATTTCACGAGAAGGGTTTTAAATGTACTACCTGACTTTCCTGCAAACCTCACATTAAAAAACTGTGCTTTAGGATATTTTTAACTCGACGATTCAGGGTGTTTTGAAATCAAGATTTTGGAGCAACTTTTTAGTTGTACGTTTATTTTTCGTTTTGTTAATGGTGTTAAACTATGAATTCAGTTTGCTGAAGCTGTTGTTTAAGTTTTTATCTAATATTTTACTTGTAATGTTATGAAAGGCACTGCAATGAGCTTGTAACAATTCAAAGTGAAAAATGAACTGTTTTGTTGAAATTAAATGTGCAGAATCCCTGTTTTATTATAGCAAAGCCGCAACGGACTATCTACCGTGTCCACCGTGGGGAATCAAACCTCTCATTTTAGTGTTGTAAATCCGAAGACTTAAATTATCACTGGCCCATCGGGGCACCGCAAAAAAAAGAAAAAAAAAGATCACTTTTGTAGTAAAAATGAATTATTGTATTGTTTATAATTTAACTAGTTTTTCTTTGTTTATGCTACTTTGTAATCGCATATAGAGTATGTTGTTTTATTTTTCTTTATGAATAAACACGTTTTATTAAAACTTTGTTGTCTTTTTAAAGCAAAACCAAGTTTTCTGCATATATGATCACTTGCAACAATGGCTAAAAATAGCTTACCACAGTATTTAAGGACTTAACTAGCTGCCCCCCAGTGGCACAGCGGCATGTCTGCGGACTTACAACGCTAGAAACCGGTTTTCGATACCCGTGGTGGGCAGAGCACAGATAGCCCATTGTGTAGCTTTGTGCTTAACTTCCAACAAACAAGCTTAACTAGCTGTTGTGTGTATGCTATCTTATAATTTGTATTGTTTCACACGTAATATTAATCAAATAAGTTTTAATACTAGTAAAACAGAAAAGACACTCAAATCTTACATAAAAAGTGTTTTGAATAAATTATATTAGCTTCAGAACTTATTTTAAGACTACTAAATAATTTTCTCAGGAAGTCTATGCACAGAGCCACGATTTCAAAACAACAACAGAAAAAACAAAACTGGTGGGCTTGTGGTAAATTAACTGACTTACAACGCTAAAATATGCAGGTTTTTCGAATGCCTAAGGTGGATCCTTGTGCTAAAAATAACAACAACAATACGAAACACTAATATCATACTATTGCATTATCGATGGATCTTGTCGCAACGATTTTAATGGCGTACCATGTTTCTGCAACTGTTACAATCTACAGCCGTAATTCAATGTGTGAGTACTGCCACTAGTATGTGTAGACGCATAGGACTTGCTACACTTCCCACGTTCTTTCTTTCGGAGATTTCTAACCAGTCTGCTAACACTGTAAAGTGTAATAACATTAACAGCAACAACTATGGATTTCCCACCTTCAATTTATGACAGTTGTGTTGATCCTGTGGATGGATGGATGTCTGGAGTTCAGCCTTAACTTTAGTTAGAATGAGCTATTTTGGTGACACAGCTCTACCATTACGAATGTTGTTCCAAAGTTAGCCTTGTAATTTTATTGTGCTCTTTCCATGTTACCGACAGAATAACGTTTGTATCTTGAGTTCTTGTACGTTTGTTATTTTATTCCGTGCTTATAGGTTACAATTTATATTATTATCATCGTTACTTATAATGTAAGTAAAACCACGTATTACTATTTGCCTAATTTGTAAATTGTATATAGCTTATAATAACCATGTGTAGCGTTCCCACTTTTCGTGCCACTTCTCGTTCAACTTTAACTTCTAGAAACTAAGGAAGTGAAATGTACTAGATATCATTCCTTATGCATGTAATGATGTATGCTGATTATTTCGTCCTTATTTTAGATGATACTCCATTGTTGTTCTGACTTGGGCCTATATTGCTATGGCGTATAATTACCTTATATTTATAATTGTACTTTATCTACCAGAATTTAAGATGCTGCTTTTCTACACATATTTTTATTTACTTTATATTTTTACTAGCTGAGTTACCTGGCGTTTGCACGTTGAAAATTTAGATTTGAAATGTATAGATCAGTATTTTTTTCAGCAAGTAGACAAAAGCTGTGATGTGAAAAATAAAAAGCATTTAATCAAACAAAGCTTTATTTGAAATTAGATCGTGTTTGAGCTTGTCTTGTTCTTTGAGCCTGAAGTTATACATCATATTGCTTCTCTGTTCCTTGATCTCTGTAAGTTGTCTTAATTTTTGTGCTTGAAGTCTGGTTTGATGTTCAGAAGTTTCTTTTTATCTATATTCAGCTTGCCTTGATGATTCTGACTTAATTCTGGCTTTGTGCTGTTCAACAGTTTTTTGCTGTCTTTGAGTAGCGTGCCTTGCAGCTTGAGCTCGAAGTCTAACTTTAGGTTGTTCCAAAATCTCTTTCTGTATTTGAGCAGCTTGTGCTTGAAGTCTTTGATTGCGTTCTTCTTCTGTTTCAGCTGCTCTTTGTGCTTGCATTCTTTTAGCGGCAGAAGACTTTCCATAGAAAGGGAGTTTCTTGGGTGGCATAATCACCTGTATCACTAAACAATAATTTGCAAATCACAAAGTTACTAAATCACTTATGAAACCATTTAGCACTATTTAAAGAAAACTGTTTTTGGAAATACAAAATTAACAGCAAGGTGATCTGAGTGTCTCCTGCCATATAGCTTTCTATGTTCAAAACATGCTTATGTCTGTATGTTTATTACATAAAAATGGTGCAATAATCATTAATTGTCAATTTCGTCATTAAATACTACACAAAATACAACATAAATAGCACCATTAAATTTCTTGTAAAAACTGGTTATTATGAAGGTACTTTAA